CAATGATTTTATCACTTAAATTGTTGTTGGTTTTTTTGTTTGTTTTTAATCTTTTCATCTCCCAATGTGCCTTCTTTATAGTCTGGAAATGAGTTACTACACAGCAGCCACAACTGGCAGAAAACTAGGTGCCTGAGAAGAGCAGTGATGTAGTGTCTCACCCTTTAGATGGCAGGGAAGGGAGCCAGGTCCTTGGTAATTAGTCTGGTGAATAATTGCATTGAATACATTTCAAGTCATTCTTGGATGTGTCTCGGATTTTTTATGCTACACATTCTTATATAAATCAATAATTTATGTATAGGTGTTCAGATTATTTTGACAAAATAATGAAGTAATGAAGTGTGGGGGGGAGGGAAATCTCATGTGTCGTGATTCTTGGCATTAATAGGTGTCATTTATAACATCACTAGAGGCCTTGTGCATGAAAATGCCCTCAGCCTGGCCTCCCCCTCTCACAGTCCGGGGGTCCTCAGGGGCAGGAGGTGACCCAGCGATTAAGGGAAGGAGACACCCACCCCCATAAACCTCTGCTGCTGCCACTGCCAGCAGCGCAAGCGTGGGCGGACCCTGGTTCCCTGAGCCTTGGGCAACTCTGGGCAGCTAGGCTGCCACCATCCAAGACTTGCCTGTGCCTTGGGCTGGCCATGGTCATCTGGGGATTTAGGGGGTTGGGGGACTCTGGAGGAAGGTGTGTGGAGTGGCCAGACCCTCCTCGGGGCGGGCCCAGCTGTGCCACGCTCCTGTTGCCCCAACGGGGACTGAGGGGCCTGGATGACACCATCTTGTGGCTGTGAAGGTTGCCATATTTGAGGGTGTGACAGTCAATTAGCATATCCCGTCCTTATTGACTATGGGTATAATAAGACTGCTGTCTTTGTGAGGGTGTGAGGGTCAATTAGTATATTCCTCCTTTATTAGATAGGATTAGTATTATTAAAATTAAATATTTTAAATGTTACAAAAATGTGTAAGTTTCTCATAATTTTACCTCTCAAAGGTAATCACTGCTAATGTTTGGATGTATACTTCTCCAAATGTGTCCTATTCATATGATAACATGCATCATGAAAGCATTATTTACCCCCACATGAGATTATACTATTTACTATTTTGAGACTTGACTTTTCACATAAAAATATATCCTACAAGTGTGTGTGTGTGTGAGATTGTGTGTATGCATGTGGTGTATTTCATTTCATTGAATAGCTTTTGTATTTCATTGTAGGTAACTAAACATTTGGGGTTTTTTGTTTTTGTTTTTGTTTTTCTAATTTTTGGCTGTTAACAAACAATGTTATAATGAACATTCTTGTTATAATGAAAATATCTTTGGGCAACTGTGTAAGTGTTTTAGCAAAATTGATTCTTATGATTAGAATTTCTGAATTGAATAGCATAGACATTTTCTGTTTTAATAGAGTTTACTAAATTGCCTTTGAACAAGTTGTGCCAATTTACAATGATGTACTTGAGCAATATATGGCCATGCTTGGGCTCCCACAACTCAGTACACTGGGTGTTATCAATCTTTAAAAGGTGCTGATCTGATCCATGAAAGTAAATACCATTGTTAACTGAATTTGCATTTGTTTGCTCATTATTAAAATTGAGCATCTTTTTTACATCTGGCTTTGGCCATGTGAAATTCCTTCTCTGAGAACTGTCTGTGTGTTTTACTCATTTTTTTTCAACTCTTCTTCCTTACTTTGTAAAAGATCTCTGAATACCAGAGAAAGTAGCTGTTTGGCTATCAGTTCTGTACCTTCCAAATCTCAGTTGCCAACGTGATCTTTCTAGTGCCCAGATTTAATCATTTCCATTTGCTGCTGTGTATCTGTCAATTTGTTTGAGGATATAACCCAAACATTTCTATGTGATAAACAGTACAGCAGTCTACTCTTTTATCCTACTTTTTTATCAAAATCAGGATAAAATCATTACCTTCCCTCCAGTCCTAACAAAACTCCTGTGTTCCCCAAACAAGCCACACTCTTTCTGCTCTGTGTGCTTCTACACCCTTCTCCCTGCCTGGACTGCCCTCCCCCACTGTAGAGGTCAGATGTCATCTCCTTTGTGACATCTACTTTAAGCCTCTGCTCCATTCAGCATCAGGTGTCCATCCTTCACCAGAATTCCATCACTAGGACTCAGGATATACTAGACCAGTGGTCGGCAAACTGCTGCTCATGAGCTACATGCGGCTCTTTGGCCCTTGAGTGTGGCTCTTCCACAAAATACCATGGCCTGGGTGAGTCTATTTTGAAGAAGTGGCATTAGAAGAAGTTTAAGTTTAAAAAAATTTGACTCTCAAAAGAAATTTCAATCGTCGTACTGTTGATATTTGGCTCTGTTGACTAATGAGTTTGCCAACCACTGTACTAGACTATTAAAATTACCTGTTCATTTTAGACATCTCTTTTCCACTAAATAAGAAGCCCCTCAGGATACCATCTATTTCTTTATTCCAAGAACTTATCATTGAATCATTACATAATACACTCTTAACTCATGTTTGCTGAGCAAATGAATCAAACATTTGTGATTCAAAAGTGACACCAGCTAGGATTAATTTTATATCAGTCATCTGGTCAAATAGAGTTCAGTCTTAACTTTGGCCTTTTCCAGCTTCTAGAAGCCATCTGAATTCTTCAGGTAAGGGACCCCTTCATCTTTAAAAACAGCAATATAGCATCTTCCCTTCTCTCTGACCACTGCTCTTATCCTTACATATTCTCTCTCTCTCTCTCTCTCTCTCTCTCTCTCTCTCTCTCTCTCTCAATTCTAACTCTTCTGCCTTTGCCTTATAAGGTTCTTTGTGATTGCATTGGGCCCACCAAGATAATCCAGGATAATTTTCCCATCTCAGAATAATTAACTTCCTCATATCTACAAAATTGTAAAGTGCCTTTAGGATATATACTTGCAAATTCCAGGAATTAAGATGTTAACATCTTGGTGTTGGTGGTTAGGGGAGGTTTGGGTTACAATATTATTCAATCTACCATGCCTCCTCTTAAAAGTTGTTCTGACTTCTTGTATTGATATTAGCTTATCTTTCTATAGATCCCACAATATCTCAAATATGGGAATTTTTAGAACAACTTTGAAACTTGGGATTAATTTTTCCACCTTCACTGTTGCTTTCTTGGTGGCAAAATTATGTATTTAATCTGGCAGTCAGACTGACCTAAATCTGGTACTAGGACTTCCTTGGTTTCATCCTTTGTAAAGGAAAAGTGTATTGCTAGGTGGATAAGAGAACAGATAATGGGGCAAGATTCCTCATTCCAATCTCTGCTCTAACAGCTACTAGTAAGAAATAGCATCAATTTCTCAGTTTCTTCATCTGTAACATAGAGATAATTATAATATTACTGAAACTTGTTTGGCTCAGTGGATAGAGTGTTGGCCTGAAAGGTCCCAGATTGGATTATGGTCAAGGGCATGTACCTTGGTTGCGGGCACATCCTCAGTAGTGGGTGTGCAGGAAGCAGCTGATCAATGTTTTTCTCTCATCATTGTTTCTAACTCTCTATCCCTCTCCCTTTCTTTCTGTAAAAAAATCAATAAAATATATTAAAAAAAAGAAATAATTATAATATTTACTACATACATTTCTTATATTAATAAGAGAACAAATATAAATTATTTAAAACAGTGCCCTACCTGGTTTGGCTCAGAGAATAGAATGTTGGCCTGCAGCCTGAAGGGTCCTAGATTTGATTTCAGCCAAGGGCACATGACAGGGTTGTGGATTCAAACCCCAATAAGGGGAATGCAAGAGGCAACTGATCAATGATTCTCTCTCATCATTGATACTTCTACTCACTCTCCCTGTCCTTTCCTCTCTGAAATAAAATGTATTTTAATTACTTAAAACAGTGGTTGGCATATAATCTTCACTCAAAACTGTTATTATTTCCCACTTGAGAGATTATTATAAGAGTTAAAGAGAGTAGAAAATGCCACACCACAATGCAGGGCACACAGTAAATTCTCAATACACTCAAGATTTCTTTTAAAGATTTTTTTTATGGATTTTTAGAGACAGGGGAAGGGAGAGGAAGAGAGAGGAAAAAAAACACTTATTAATGTGAGAGTGGAACATCAATTGGCAGCTTCCTTCCGGGGATTGAGCTTGCAACCTGGGTATGTGCCCTGACCAGAAATTGAACCATCAAACTTTTGGTGCATGGAGCAATGTCTAACCATCTGAGCAACACCAGCCAGGGCTACACTCTAGCTTTTTATTAATCATCATCTGTATTAAATACAACAGGTTGAAAAAATCAAATAGAGTGAAGCAGTGTGGAGTTTAGTAAAATCTATTCAATTTTGTGCCAATAATCTGAATTGTTTCAGGCTCTCTTATTTTTAAAATCAGTATGGTCACAGCATTAAAAGATAGGAAGGTCAATAATGTTGTGACAGATGGATTTTACTAGTTTCTATGAGATAACTGCAGGCCTTTAAATATTAGTGTTTTCAAATATATTAGTGTTTTCAAATATATTAACTCCTGGGGCCTGGTTGTGACAATGTCAACTCCATGCAATATCTAGCAATCTAATGGCTATTTGGTTATTTAGCTATAATGGCTATTTTTCTAGATTATTATCTTTATCCTTGTCATATAATAGCCTTTATGCCTTTATATCATAGGATAATCAGGTGTTCCTCATTTGCTTCCAAAGCAAATTGAGTCATTCCACTCAAATGTTTACAGTAAGTAGAATAGAAACTTGTAGAATCATCTTCCTCTCTCATAAATGAAGCAACAGCAAAGTGGTAGAGCTTCTCAACTGTTTCAAGTTCCTCAAATAAGTTTTACTTTTGCAAAACGGACTTCTAACTTCCCACATTCCGTGAGCTGTGTTATAGTCAACATGACTTGCAGCCACGTTTGTTGTAATTTTTTAAATATGTGGAAAAAAAGAAAGATATCAACCATGTATTACCTTAACCAAGATGCCAAATTATCTAACTTGTTTCTCCAGGCAAGCAGCCCAACCACAGGAACAGCTCCCAGGAGCCAGTCAAGATTGTCTGTCTGTCCATCCACTCAGGACATTTGCAGGTAAGTGCTCATCAAATGATTCTACTCAATGTTTTTCAGACCAGTGTTTTGTTTTGTTTTTGTATTCTTATTTTACATTCTGACTGTGTGACTCTTGCTTCTGCCTTATGTAGGCCATGGATAATTTATACTGACTTAATTTTTTTTCCTTTGGTGCATTTTCTTTATTTGATCTTTATTTACCAACTTCTGGTCCATGCTATCATTTCCATTGTTCTCTGTTTTCCCATGGCTTTCTGTCCATTCCCATTTCCCATTCTTTGCCTGCTGCTTTGTCTAGATTTGCCATCTTGCATGACATATCAAAAGATGCTTTTGAGCAATGCACCCTTGTCATGGTGCTAAGCCCTGTTAGGAAGGAGTCTGGTAAGAAATCAGTAAAACAAAGGCCTAGCAGGAGGAGAATGGTCTCTGAGAGATAAGAGTGTGCAGATGAACAAATAAAAGGGAGAAGAAATTATTTCCAATTCCAGATCTCAAGCCCCAGGTGGACTGAGCTTTGTGATTCTTCAGATTCATCTCCCAAAGATGAGAGTCTTTGGGTGCAGGCAAAAAGAATAGCCCAAGTGAAATTCCAATTGTTGCAAAGAAGGAGAAATAATAATAAATCATGTGGAAGTTTGGATGGGTCTTCTGCTCCTAATGGAATTAATCTGGTAAATTTGGGATCCAAAGGTAACAAGCAACAAGAACTGAGTAAATGTGAGAGTTGCTCTTTAAACCTCTGCAGAAGAAAAGCCCCTGGGACCAAGAGTGCAGTCTTTCCCTGCCTAGAGGACCCTATGAGATTAAGAGATCCTCAGGGCACCATGAAGAAAACAAAGGCAGATACCACCACAGGGATCCATAGCTCTTTCATAGTCTTAGGCAAAATGAGGCAATCAAGAAAAGATTTTCAGAAACAGATTCCAGCACTGAAATATTGGCAAGTCTGAGTGATGCAGGGTTCCAGCTTCCGTGATGGGTCTGATAATTTAAAATTATGCAGGTCAGTCACTATAGAGTAAGACGATGCCACCATGCAAATGCATTTCTTTCTGCTGTGAGCTATGTGTGTGTTTGACACCTAGCCTTAATGCATAACATTTATTCATGCTGATGTCTGGTGGATATAAGATGGTAAAATGAGAAAGGGTGCATCTGAGAAGAACAATAGAATTAGATTTTCCCTTTTTCCTCTTTGTTAATTAAATAATGGTTCAGCCTAGTAAAGGGACTGACAAACCAGTTAGTCTTGAACCCATTCTAGTTAAGATAAGACTAATAGAGGGAATATGAGTGAGAGCATAGGAAGCCTTCAATTCTTCAGTGTAAATAGGAATGGACAGAAAGCCATGGAGGGGCATAGGTGGTAGTGACAAGAACTGAAAGATGGAGAGAGGCATGCAAAACATGCTAAGGGATTTAAAGATAAATGACTATTAGCACCACAACAGAAAAAAATATTCCAAGAAAGGGGTTTTTAAAGTCAGAATTTTGTACCAGAAAAATCTCCTCCACGATTGGTGTTATTTTGTTCTCTAAATGTTTGATTCAGCGGGGTAATTTTAGACTGAAAGGACACAGCATGGACACAGGTCCTGGACATACCAGTGTGGGTTGCTGGAGTTTTCAGGGAAAGAAATCACACTGACTGTACTGAAAAGTCTCAAACACGCAGGCATTTCATAGCTGTAAAGCTGCTTTCTTGCAATTTTTACCCAACTGGACTACATTTTTGTAGCTTACTCACTTAAGCCTTCATTGTGCATCAGGTTTTATTCTAGGCTTGAAAATATCATAATGCCTGAGCTTTGCACAGTCTCTGACATCATAACTTACAGCCAGAGGAGGATAACAGACACAAAACTCTTTCAGAGTTATATATAATTATGACTGTGATGAGGAACATGATAACACAACAAGGAAGCTTTATGTATTCTGGGAGATCAGAGAAGAACTTCCTTAAGGAAGTGACAAGCTGACCATGGCTCAAAGGCTGACAGGCATTGATCAAGGAAAGAACCCAAGGAGACCATCCAGAGAGAGTGCCACTATGAAGCCAGGATGAGGGGAGAAGTTTAGCAAACCAGGGAGTTGAAAGCTGGCTGTCCTAGCCAGGTGTTGGGGAGGGCATGGGTGGTAGTGACAAGAACTGAGAAATGGAGAGAGGCATGCAAAACATGCTAAGGGATTTAAAGAGAAATGACATCATTTGATTTGTATGTTAATGAGAGTTTCTTGTAATCTTTTGAATATGATTTAAGTGTGGCTTGGCTAAAATGTTGGTGGATGGAATAAAACACTCTTTCCAGTCTAGACTAAGAGCTCCCACTTGCAACCATCTGTTGCCATTTTCCCAAACCTTCCTCCAACATAATTTAATGAAAGACAGTCAGAGAAGCTGGTTGTAGGCTTAATGATAATTGGAGAAAAAAGTAATACTTGCAATTAAAGTTGTAGTGGATGGTTCTCCTAACTTAAAAGCACTTCTCTGAAGGAACATTTTCAAAGACAGGATATTTCACTTAGATTTCTATTAATGAAAGTGAGATCGATGGGCCTATTTTCTTGTTGTGAGTTATCATCAAAATATACCCACTAAGCAAATACTAAGGACAGCATATTGTACTTGATGCTGAGGCTAAAAAGTGACAAAAGACGTGATTCTTCCTGTTAAGTGGCCTATTATCTATTAGGAGAAATTGAACACATACCTAAAAAGATGAAAGTTCAAAGCAGTTCAGGATGAATTTAAGAAGAGGAATACTGCAAGCATTTGAAGAAAGGAAACTTGCTGAGAGCTGGAACAATCTGGAAACCCCCTAAGAAGGGGGATTATTGGGACTGAGAAAAGTAGAATTCAGTTTGGCAGAGATGTATGGATGGCATTCCAGGAACTCAGGGCTGGGGAAATGCCATGAGCTCAGACTGGGATGCAGGAATGACTCCATGCACTTAAAAATGTTGTGTGACTTTTTGTGACTAGTTTGGAAGGTTTGCATAGATAGATAATAACTAAACTTTTTAAAAGAGACATTATAAACAAAACATGCATAACCTTCCAAGGAGTTTAATTCTATTCTGGAGTCTTATTTTCAAACTGCCTCTTGGTGCCAAGGAGGCGGCTTGGAAAGTTGAGGACAGAGTTAGAGGATTGGATTGTACTTCCTTTAGCCCATCTTCAGCCAGAGAAATTTCATGGCAATCTTTCTTAGATAATGGGGTTACACATTGTATTTCTTTAAGGAGAAAAGAAGGTTCCACTGCAAAAGATAATACAGCCTTTGCTAAGTAAAATAGGCTCGGTGAAGAACAGCATACACAGAGTAGTCACAGTGCCCTGAGGGTGTCCTGGGAAGGGAGCCTAGATGTGGGAGAATGAGTTGGGAATGAGGTAGAAGTATCCTACTTTGAGATAACTAGAACTAGGATGACACAGGGTAATGAAAGGGGGATAACATTAGCATATTGGCATACCACCAGGTGAGCAGGAGCAATCTAAATGCTTGGCATTGGTAAGTGCATAAGACAAAGGCACCAGTGATCACGCCAAATCTTGGAACTTAGTAGACAAGAAATGCTGATGATGATGGCAAAGGCAGAAGAGGTCAGAGGGAAGCTGGTTTGGGAAAGACATGATGAGTTCAATTACAGGCAGGCTATTTGTTATTGCAGTGACATTCCAGGGTCAGCTGTCCAGCAGACCATATGAGACATGTCACTGAAACACAGGAGAGCAGTCAGGGCTGGATCAGTGTACTTGTTCAAGAATGAGTGAACTATACACAGACCAACACTAAAACAATCATATTTTTGCAATTGACATTAATATGATATATTTCACAGGGAAATAGCACAAAGATATTCAAAATGAAAATATAATTATGGTCATAGAGGACATATAGATTCTCAGGGAGGTGGCTGTGAGGCCAGGAAAGTGAATGAAATCTGTAAATGAGGTCATATTTTGTCAGGGGAAAAACCTCTAGATGGACACAGCCTGAGCACCAAGGTCCCTGTGAAGGGGAGAACGATGACCCTGAGGGAAGCAGAAATGGCCTTGAACTTGCAGTCCAGCTTCAGAAATGCATAGGCAGGACCAGTCTCAGCCACAACCACAAAGCAGAAGCTTCTGAGCCCTTCCTCCTTCTCTGTTCTGAGCACTGAGTCCCCACGTGGACACTATGCTCCTACCCACCTCATCAAAGCCTTATTTAGGGAAAGTTTCTCTTAGCCAGTTATATAACTTGCAGGAAATTTAAATCATCACAGTTATGCAATGGGAGAAGCTTTTCCTTTTTTAATAGAAAAATTTACATTTAGAAAAAAACCTGAAATTAGCTCATGTTAGCTCATGCTTGAAACTTTTTAACGGCCTCTTAATAGCCCTCAGTGGCAAGTTCAAAATCTTTAATATACTTTACAAGTTCTGCATGATCTGTCAATCAGATCTGCCTCCTGAGCTTCATTACCCATCATTGACAATGGCCTATTCATGCTGGCCTGTCTTCAATTCCCTGAAAGTGGGCAGACCTGACTCTTTCAGGCCTATAATGCTTACACATTATCCCCTCTGCCCTTCACCAGACTAACTCCTAGTCATCTTTTCCTGATTTAAGTGTCATTTCTTTAAGGATACCTTCACAATGCTCTAACCAATATTCAGGTCACCTGGGAGTCAATTTTAGGACATAACTTTAAATTGCTAATGTATAGATATTTTTGTGATCGACTGTATCACATTTGTTCATGGCAGTATTCACAGTGCCTGAAAGATAGTACATACTCAACAATTGTTTTTTTTTTAATTTCTTTATTGATTAAGGTATCACATATTTGTCTGCATTCCCCATTCCTATCCCAAACTCCTCCCCCCTTGCATGCCCCCACCCCCTGTTGTCCGTGACCACTGGTTAGGCTCATGTGCATGCACACAAGTCCTTTGGTTGATCTCTCCTCCTTATCCCCACCCTCCCCTACCTTCCCTCTGAGGTCCAACAGTCTGATCAATACTTCCC